CGGATCAAGCAAAGCCACCCCCACCCCGGCTTGGCCGTCCCACGGCGGCTGCTGCCGGGGGGGAGGGAAATTTCCCAACGTGGTAGTTTTGCATTTTTTTTCCCACCTTTGGCCAAGTGGGAGGGACAGATGGCCCTATGCACATTGGCCCGTTCGGAAAAATCCTCAGGCCCTTTGGGAGAGGCTTTGTTAGGGTTTGACCCCTTGGGATGGGAAAGGAGAAGAGGACCCCCCCCCCCCCCCCCCCCGTCGCCATCTCTCCGAACCGTGACATCTCTCGTATCTCTACGGTACGCACAGATCTCGGAACGCTTGTTCACCTAGAGGCAAGTAGCTGGCGGCTGCGTATCGATCGGATACTTGATTGTTGGACCCGTTGGTTAGGCTGATTTCCTTGCGGAGAAGTCTTGGCCTTGCTAGTTAATCCCTTTCGAGCGTTCGGCTGTCCCCCGTCGTGCATGTTTAAGTCGGTCTATTCTTCCCCTACGGAGCTGCTTCGTTGGCTCTGTCGCTTCCAGTTCGGCTTGACGAGCGTGACATCTGATTGCCTACCACCCTCGATTTTGACTTCTAGGCGCTACTATCCAGATCCTTGAATTATTGGGCCGCCGCGCTCTCTACTTGTTGATCTCTTCCCCCCCTCTAGTATCTGTCCTCCCACCACTTGTTCCTTCCTCAGCCGTTGTCGATACATACCTGAGTGTTGTTTTTGTGACGCCGCCACCACGGGTGCTGCTTTGGGCCTGCCCTCCCACCACTTGCCCTTTGCTCTTCCGTTGTCGATACCTGGGTGTTGTTTTGTGCCTCCACCGCCGCCGCCGCCGCCGCCGCCGCCGCTGTTGCCGCAGCGGTAAGTCGTCTCTCCTGAACGTGCTTACGGGACGGGTGCCGGCGGCGAGACAGAAGAGGCTCGAGGGCACGGTGGAGGTGGGCAAGATCCCCCTCGACGACTTCGACACGCAGGTGGGTTTGGCATGTCGGCGAGTACTTGTGCGGATCGAGAAGGGGTGCAAGTGTACTGGTGATGTCAGAAGCATCATGCCAGCGCCATTGAGAAGCGGTGTAAGTTTACTGGTGATATTGGTAACACATGCAAACACCACCGCGACCTCTGCGATATATATTTGGGTTGGTGCAGGTACAAATGTTTTCGGCTCGCGTTTCTCGGGCACGGCTGAGGGCGGGAAGACTTCAATTTTGGAAACGGTTGTAAACTGCTCTTGTACGTTATTATCCTCAACTGTACGAGTTTTGAGGTCGTCTTTCACTGCTGGGCTGGACGTACACGTTAGCTGGTACACCGAACAATGGCAGCAGCGCAAACTCTTCGCCAAACCTGAGCCCATTCCTAACTCTCTCCTCACACCGTCATGCCCTGGCGCCCATTCTCTATTTACCTTCCCGCCCTTGGCTTCTACCTTTCGGTGACCCCTCGATCCCACCGTTGTGTGTTGGTAGCGCTATGTGGCGTATGTGAGGCAGGAGCAGGACTTCTACCCTTTCCTCACAGTAAGAGAAACCCTACTACTTAAGGCTGGCTTGCGCCTTGACAGGTATGACACACAACTTGATGGCGGCAGTTCTTGTTGGGTGACGGTGTCGTGTATTTCGGGCTCAGGTGGCTGTCCAATCGCATTCGCTGGTTTTGTTGTCTGTCGTGGGGAGGCTTGGTAGTGTTGGCGATGAGACTCTCGACGTTGGCGCTGACCTGTATGTTGCTGCTTCGCGTTGATAAGGTGCCATCGTACACACTCCTTTTTTTTTCTCTCAAATATGTACCTGTGTCGCTTGTGTGTCTACACTAGGGTTGACGCCAATGTTCGCAGTAGACACAGGTATCAAGAGACGACCAGATCACGAGAAGGGGAAGGTTGCTGTGAACACCGGCCTGGCCTGGGATGGGGAGGGTCCGGGCACCAGTATCGGCAGAGACAGCAGTAGTCGTCGTAGGCTTACGGTGGCGGTTGTAGCCGTGTCACGGTCAACGAAAAGTCTCACCGATCCACCCCTCCCCCCTGTGCCCATTGAGATGGCGTGCACCCCGGTTGCACGCACTACCCTGCCGGCCTTGTCGCGGTGGTAGCGATGCGAATGCGACGGTCTATGGCACAGCTGTACTAAAGCACTATCGTGATTTTTGTGGTAACAGTCGTTGCTCCGATATAAGAGGGTGGTGTGACAAAGGCCCTCGACCCTCTTATGTCGGAGCCCCCGCTTCTTCCCAATAAGAGCGAATAAGAGGGCATCCAACTATATATATATATATATTGTCTTCACTTCAAATCAGCGCTCACAGCACTAGTGCCGTTTACTCCAACCCGTGGTCACACAGAAGAGCCCCTCTCTACCCTCCCCTTCTGCGGTACTTTGCCTGCGATTTTTAATGCGAGAAGAGTTCAGCACTCTCTTCCCTCTGTGTACACACGAACTAGCGCTATCCACTAGGCCAGGAGCGGAAGCAAGAGAAAAACTCACTTTGCAAGAAAAGCTCGCTTACGCCGGGATTCGAACCCCTGACCTGACCTCTAGAAGGTTTCGAGGATACCAACTAGACCACCGGGGCGATATGACCCCTATATGGTGGATCGAGTCCGTGACAACCGATTTCGACCCTCTTATATCGGAACCCCCTTTCATATGGCACCCTCTTATAATCGGAGACACGACTGTATGGATATGGATTGACTTGAGCGGCAGCGCTCCCTCGTTCTGACTCCGTTCTCGCTTGGTGCCAATTCTCGTTGTCGGCGCTGCCGCACCCGCTGCTGCTCCCTTCAGGACCGTTACCCACGCACAGAAGGTGGGTTTTGACAAGAGACAGCGGCGGTTGCGCACGCCGTCTGCGATGTGATGCAGATTTTTCGACCCCTGTGCGCGATTGGTCGCTCAGTGGCCGTCGGTGTGGTGTGTGCCGGTCGAGGTAGAGTCCCCCCCACTAGCACCGGTACCCCCCCCCCCAGATGGCTTGTCGATTAGACACGATTGTGTGTGCATAGAATCATGGGTACCCGTCCGTTCTTGTGGCGAGGTTATGCCGACCCTACCGCTGGCACACGGGCAATTGTGATTTGTCACATCTGAAGAGGCGTGGCGTAAGGGGGAAAGTGAAATAGAGGATGGAGCACGCGGTGTACCGTGGCGTCCTCTCCTCGCACTGCTGCTGCCGCTGTCGCTGCTACCGCCGCCACCGCTGCTGTTGCTGCTGCTGTGCCGTGTCTTCAACGCCCGCCCTGCCTTTCACCTTTGGGCCGAAATCAACCAAAAGAAACGAAGAATGCAACACGAAAAACGCCATGGGCTTGTCATCTCACAGCTCTGACGACGACACCCCCCCTGTCTGTGACAACACTGCATGGCGAACCAGGAGGAAATAGTGTCGGCGACCATGGACAAGCTAGGCTTGTCTCGGAGTGCCGAGACGCTGGTGGGAGACCTGAAGACGCCCGGTGAGAGATGGTACATTTCGTACCAGTTTGAATATAATGGTTACCCTGCGGTTCGCTTCCTCTAAATGTTTGGCTTTTGGCAAAAAAACAAGTTAACACTTGCAAAAAACTCGTGGTGAATTGTCGTGGAGAAGGTGCGTGCTGCGTGAGCAACGGCAAAAAATTATCAAATGTTGCGGTTGTGGGATAAGCGACGTATGAGTTGGGGGTGTGGGTGTGGGGTAGTAGCAATTGGCCACGGCTCAGCGTTTCTTCTGAGGCCGAAACCTCTTGTTTGGCCCGTAGTCCGTCCGCTCCCCATCGTCCCCTAGTGTTTGCCTTATTTTTTTTCACTGCGGGGGAGTATCGTTTACACCGCCTCCTCGCCCGTACCCCCGCGCTTTCGAGGGCGTTTTTTGCACAACCATCCGCGCGCGCCTCCCTCTCCTTCTAAGCATGCTCTGGTGCTGCCACCGGTGCTTTTCTTTCTCGTGATACGCCTGTCGTTGTTGCGTGTGGTGTGGAACTGTAGGCATTTCGGGAGGGGAGAAGCGAAGGCTGGCGATGGGTATTCAGATGATCGGGCTCGAGGCGCCATCAGTGATTTTGTTGGACGAGCCAACCTCCGGGCTTGACTCGCACCAGGCGCTACAGGTTTGGCAGAGAAAGAAATAAACAAACAAAACAAGAAACAAAGGAAGGAAGGAAGGAAGGAAGGAAGGAGAAATACCGAAGGAAGCAAGAAATAATGGTATGAAGGAAGGGAGGGAGGAAGGGAGAAACGACGCACCCCACCCCTTCATTTACCATGAGGTGTCGCCGACAGCTTTTCTTTCCCCCGCGCCCGATTTTTTTCTCTCTTTTTTTTTCTTTTCGTCGTAAGGTGATGTCAACAGTGCGAGACCTCTGCCTCGAGGGCCACACGGTCATTGTGGCGATACACCAGCCTCGCTCCTCCATCTACGCGCTCTTCGACGACCTGCTTCTCCTCAGCGATGGGAGGGTGAGTCGTTACCGTGGTGTCAATCGTCGTTGTTGTTGCTGTTGATGATGGTTATGTGATCTCTGCACAAATTGTTTTTTCTGCCACGGTTACGTCGGAATTGATCCCAGTAGGAGCGGCACGAGATGTAGACAACGTCGGTAAGATGGCCAAGCATGTTTCGTACAGCAAGCTCACATCGCCAAAAAAAAAAACAGTGACGAGAAACATCGGCAACAAGATCTGCGGCGGCAACAAGTACAGCAACAACGCCCCTAGCAACTATGTACATCAAACAACGACAACACCGATAACGACAGCAAAAATAGCAACATCAACAAAGGTTGTGAATTTGCAACTCCCCGCTACCTCGTCCAGGTGATGTACCACGGCTCGATGAACGACGTGCTGCCAAGGCTCGCCTCTCTGGGACACAAGTGCCCGTCAAACTTTAACCCGGCAGACTTCATGGTGAGAGCTACAGCAAGCAACAACGAGGAGTCAGAAGTCAGCCACACACTGGAGCGCAGGAATGCTCAGCCAGATATCGATTACTGTGTTTTCTTGTACTATGAGGTGGCGCGTGTCTTGACGCGTCCGTTCAAAGTTCGTTCGTTTGGGGTGATTCCGTCATTTCGTGGCCTGGTGAATCTGCCCAATACAGCAGTATGGCGGCGCACTTGCGTCCTTTTTTTTCATTGTTTTTTACTTTTCTTGACCTTTTCGCTTTTTGTCGTTGTCGCCAGGTGGATTTGATCAGCGCCGCTGATTGCGACAACAGCGGGGAGATGCAGGCGAAGGTCGAAGTTCTCGGCAAGTTGGCCGAGGTGCGCCGAGAGACAAATAAAAACGCGAAAAAGTAATACGCAAAGACAGAAGTGAGAATTTAGGACGGAAGATGGGCCACAAGTAGTTCGTGGAAGATCACCGTCACAACATCACGAAGAGAGGGAGGGAGGGAGGGAGGGAGAGAGAGAGAGAGAGAGAGAGAGAGAGAGAGAGAGAGAGAGAGAGAG